AAAAAAGATTAGCGAGGCATGGTGGCAAACACCCATAGTCCTAGCTACTCAGGGGGCTGAGGTAGGAGGATCACTTAAGCCAGGAGGTTGAGGCTGCAGTGAGCCATACTGATGCCACTGCACTCTAGCCTGAGCAACACAGCAAGACCCTATCTTAAAAAATACATATATGTTTAGTACTTAGGGGTTTTGAAACAAAAATCATATAAAAAATGGTCTTAATTTAAATAGTTTCATTTTTTTTCTATTGAAAATCAATCCAGGCCGGGTACTGTAATCCCAGCACTTTGGGAGGCCCAGGCAGGTGGATCAGCTGAGGTTAGGAGTTCAAGACCAGCCTGGCCAACATGGCAAAACCCTGCCTCTACTAAAAAATAGAAAAATTAGCTGGGCCTGGTGGCAGGCACCTGTAATCCCAGCTATTCGACAGGCTGAGGCATGAGAATCGTTTAAGCCTGGGAGGCAAAGGTTGCAGAGAGCTGAGATCGTGCCACTGCACTCCAGCCTCAGAGACACAGCAAGACTCTTGCCTCCAAAAAAAAAAAAAAAGTATCCAAAGTGTTGTAAATTCTACCTTTTATTATGTAAATAATGAGTGAAGACTATCTTTTCAAAAGGGGGAAAATATTTTTACATTTTTGTGTAGCTTTTTATTTGTATACCTGTCAGAAAAGAGAACTTAAATCCAATACAAATAAGTATTTTGCTCATATCATGCACATTTATGTAGCATTTTCCTTCCCCAAACTGTGATTTTTGGATCCTATTGTCCTTTTCATGGATGGGAAGACATGCTAGTATGAGATAACACAAAGAATAAGGAGGAATATAACGGCCAAATACTTGACCCCAACTCATTCATTAAAAATAACGGCCAATCATACTACCCAAAGTAATTTAGAGATTCATTGCTATTCCCATTAAGCTACCACTGACTTTCTTTGCAGAATTAGAAAAAACTACTTTAAATTTCATACGAAACCAAAAGAGAGCCTGTATAACCAAGACATCCTAAGAAAATGAACAAATCTGGAGGCAACACGCTACCTGACTTCAAACTATACTACAAGGGTACAGTAACCAAAAGAGCATGGTGCTGATATCAAAATAGATATATAGACCAACGGAACAGAAAAGAGACCTCAGAAGTAACACCACACATCTACAACCATCTGATTTTTGACAAACCTGACAAAAACAGGCAATGGGGAAAGGATTTCCTATTTAATAAATGGTGCTAGAAAAACACTAGCCAGCCAGGTACGGTGGCTCATGCCTGTAATCCCAGCTACTTGGGAGGCTGAGGCAGGAGAATTGCTTGAACCCGGGAGGTGGAGGTTGTGGTGAGCCGAGACTGTGCCATTGCACTCCAGCCTGGGCAACAAGAACAAAACTCCATCTCAAAAAAATAAATAAATAGAAAAACTGACTTGCCATATGCAGAAAACAGAAACTGAACCCCTTCCTTATACCATATACAAAAATTAACTCAAGATGAATTAAAGACTTAAATATAAAACCCAAAACCACAAAAACCCTAGAAGAAAACCTAGGCAATACCATTAAGGACACAGGCATAGGCAAATACTTCATGACTAAAACACCAAAAGCAATTACAACAAAAGCCAAAATTGACAAATGGGATCTAATCAAACTAAAGAGCTTCTGCACCAAAAAATAAACTATCATCAGAATGAACAGGCAACCTACAGAATGGGAGAAAACTTTTGCAATCTACCCACTGGATAAAGGCCTAATATCTAGAATCTACAAGGAACTTAAACAAATTTACAAGAAAAAAAAAACATCAAAAAGTGGGTGAAGGATATAAACAAGGCACTTCTCAAAAGAAGACATTTATGTGGCTAAAAGTGATGAAAAAAAGCTCATCATCACTGGTCATTAGAGAAATGTAAATCAAAACCATAATGAGATACCATCTTATGCCAGTCACAATGGCAATTATTAAAAAGTTAGAAAACAGCTGGGTGCAGTGGCTCACGCCTACAATCTCAGCAGTTTGGGAGGCCAAGGTGGGCGGATCACTTGAAGTCAGGAATTTGAGACCAGCCTGGCCAACATGGTGAAACCCTGTCTCTACTAAAAATACAAAAATTAGCTGGGCATGGTGGCTCATCCCTGTAATCCCAGCTACTTGGGAG